AAAAAAAAAAAAAAAAAAAAAAAAAAAAAAAGAAACACAGTCTGCTATTTTGCTAACTTTTTTCGTTCGCTTTCTGTTCACATTTTTTTTTTTTTTCTCATTTTTTGTTTTTCCCACTGTTGTTCCATGTCGTTTATAATTTTTTCTCCGCTTGCTACACAGCCATTCACACTTTTTTTGCGGGGACGGTCCCCCTTCCCTTACGCATGCGCCATTTCTCAAAAAAAAAAATAAAATAAAAAAAAAAAAAAAAGGAACCCACGTACACATTTGTGCGTACTTACAAATATCAGTATTCATGTACACAGGAATGTTCCCTTACGCACATATATGGGCTGGTGGACTTGGGTACATGACCTATACCAGGGGTTCCCCCATTCCTCCACCACGTTACACTGGCATGACGGGTGTAAAAGTATTCCTAGGCGAATGCGCTCAGTTCATTTCCAGCGCTCTCGCATGTCACGGGGAGGCTGGTGGTGATGGTGTGGGGAATTCTACCGCTACGCTTTTTACCGCCACGCTTCAGCGGAGTGATGCAAATTGGGGCAAGCCCCCACAAATGAAGCCTTCCTCGCAAATGGAAACCTTGTCGTAGAATCTCCTCACTGTGCTAAAGGCAGCGCGATGGGCCCCTCCCCCAAATGTGTGTTTTTTCCCTGCGAGTACCTCTGCCTCCCCAAAACTTCCTTCCCCTGGGGGTGACGAAGAAGGACAGATTTTTTTTTTTTTTTTTTTTTTTTTTTTTTTGCTGTCCACCAAATGTTGTTCCTTCAAGTGGTTCACTTTGTTAGGCGTACGAAAACTGCCCGGGGGTAGACAAAATGTGTTCCGCAAAAAAAAGGCAAAAAAGAAAAAAAAGAAAAATGTGGTACCCTTATTGGACCCTCCAAAGGGTAAGTATAACACGGACTTTACATCATAACGTTGTAGAGGCAATGTGAGGGGTCCATAAGGATACCTTTTTTAACAGCGTGAAAAATGTAATATAAAAAGGGGAAGAAATGTCTTCTGTACATTTAACCAGTGGACTTCTATAACCCACACCCAAAGCACCTCAAACAATTGGAAGACTTCCAAAATGAATTCGTTCTGTCATTTAACCCTGAACCCTGAGTAGCCCCTCAAACCGGCTCAATCCGCATCGTCACTGCGAAGTAGGAGAGTCTATATTTTACTACCTTGGGGAGAGCTGCAAAAGTTTCCCCCTCTGGTTCAATCACAAAGGAATGATGCATGGCGTATTCTCTGGTCTGTTGCCTCAGGGGGAGTAGTGTGACTTGTTGCTCCAAAGTTGCACATGCGTAAGGGGTTCATCAACGTACGGTTATTTCACATACATATATAACTGCGGGAATGGGAGGCAGCCGTTTTTTATACATGTAAGCCTTACGTGACCTTTTTTACAAAAAAAAAAAAAAAAAACAATGCACAACGGGTTCCTCCTCTCTGTGTTCATAGCGGTACGTTGTACTTGCCCTTGTAGGAAAAACAAAAGGGAGAAGATGACAACACGGGGAGGTGAACTTGCTCCAGAAATTCACCATAGTAGTCGGGCCCCTCACATCACACAGTGCAACGCAACGCAGCGTCATTATGCAGCGATTTGATGTGAAGTTATTATATGTTGTGATATGCATATTTTTTTTTTTTTTTTTTTTTTTTTTCTCCGTTTTTTCCCCACCCCTATGCTTGGCTGGCCTTTCTTTTTCTCTTCCCCATTTGTTCTCTTTTTTATTTGCCATTCTTCTTTTTCTTCCTTTTTTTTCTCGTTTTTTTCCTCCCTTTTTTTTACGTTTTTTTCCTCCCTTTTTTTTACGTTTTTTTCCTCCCTTTTTTTTACGTTTTTTTCCTCCCTTTTTTTTACGTTTTTTTCCTTCCTCCCCCTGGGCGCTTGACCGAAGGGGACGCGCAAACACGTACCTACAGGCTTTTTCCCTAGTGGGACGTACGCGCTGGGGGCCCAGTGGCAAGTGGAGAAGATTGAGGGACTTTTTCTGGCGCGTTTGACACAGTTGGCCTCGCTGCGCAAGTGCTTTAGGGAGGAATTGAAGCTTTCCGTTTAGTTTAGAGGGCCACCGTGGTGTCGTGTGAACACATTCTCAACCACGCCGCCGCCAGTATAGCCTCCCCCCCCTACTTGATACCCACGTGGCGAGTGCCAAACGGCAGACGGGATGGACTGAAGAAGAAGAAGCGCGGCGGAGTATTTTCGCGTGCGGCTGTGTTCTGCGCCAGTGCCGCTTCTTTTGGCTCCAAAGCACCTTTTTCCCTGAGTGGAGTGCCTCGCGAGAGATAGTACCATTCGAAGAGGGGAGGGGCGCTACGCAAAAAAAGATATAACAGGGGTTGTGTGATCAAATACACCAGACGTGGAAAATATAAAGAGAGGGGGCAAAAACACGGGGGCACGGACAATACAGAGAATAAGAAGTGTGCCCCCAATTTGTTTAACGCCCCTCTGTGTGTGCAGCTGTGTATTATCTCTGCCCCCCTCCACTACAACACCAAGACCCAGATCAGGCCTCACAATTTTAAGTACGTCATAATGAGCAGGGTGCAAATGCTTCTGAGAACCACTAGGGGTATTTACAATTGTGGGGTGATGGGCCGGAGGGGCCCAGTGGAAGAGGTCTTATCGTGTAGGAGGTACCTGGGGTCGCTTTTAAATGTTCCTCATGTTGGAGGGGCCGTGGAGGTAAATGTCGCAGGAAGAAACGGCATTTGTGGTGGTAACCGCAAAGGGGCGAGAAGGCTGCTGCACGTTTTGAAAAAATACATGAGGATCTGTTGTCGAGAGGGGGGTCTGAAAAAGGGGGAGTTGCCCAAACTGCATGAGGCAGCACAGCGTTTGTTGCAGGTAAATGGGAGGAGCGGGGCTGTGTTCCCTCACGAGGGGAAGACCCACGAGGAGCATTTCACAAGAGAAGAGACTACTCTCCCAGCGCACTTTGACAAAGGGAATTTGCCCAGTGGCGATTGGCGAAAGAGGAGCAGCTTGCACAACTCGTTCCTCGCCGCCCACCATGCATTTTTTAACCCGAAAAAATATGAACAGTTAGCAGTCGGTTTGCAGCAGAACAGAAGGAAGTTCCACCAGCTGGTTCAAATGTACCTTTCCAAGGCACCTAAAGGATTTGAAAATTTTGAAAAGACAAATAAAAAAAAAGAGGAAGGTTCTTCTTCTTCTTCATCTTCTCCCTCATCGTCCAATTCGTTAAAACCTGATGAAGAGAAGAATAACAAAAGGTTTGACAATTTTTTTTTTTTTTTTTCTTCATGTTACTTTTATTCTTTTTCCTGTTTGTGGATTCAAATGGATTATACAACGAAGTCACACAAAACGATTTTTTTATGAATTACCTGTCCAAGGGGTACGTAGATAAAATAAAGCTCATTAATAAAGATTATGTGAAGGCATACCTGAACGTTCATGGCATGACCAAGTATCATCAGAAGTACGTGAGCTTTCGTATAGGAAATAGTGATGCCTTTGAGCGCAAGGTCGAGCATATTCAAAGACAAATGAATATACAGAATGATCAAATAATTGAAGTTCAGTATACAAATGAAACAAATGTATTGAATGAAGTGAAGAGTTATGTCCCCACAATACTTTTCTTCTTATTATTTGCCTTCATTTTTCAAAAAATAACTTTAAAAAATGTAGCAGGCAGTGGTATGGACAAATTATTCAAAATGAATAAAATGAATCCTATAAGTAAACACCAGTTGAAGACGGATGTGAAATTCTCAAGTGTCGCTGGGATGAAACAAGCCAAGGAAGAGATTATGGAATTTGTCGACTTTTTAAAAGCCCCTTCAAAGTATGAAGCATTAGGGGCTAAAATGCCTAAAGGGGCTTTGCTGTGTGGTGCCCCTGGAACAGGAAAAACATTATTAGCTAAAGCTGTAGCAGGGGAAGCCAATGTACCTTTTTTTAACATAAGTGGAAGTGATTTTATTGAAGTGTTTGTTGGTATTGGACCTTCCAGAGTGAGAGAATTATTTGCTCAAGCAAGAAAACATGCACCGTGCATAATTTTTATTGACGAAATTGATGCAGTGGGTAGGAAGAGGTCGAAAGGTGGCTTCGCAGGTGGAGGAAATGATGAAAGAGAAAATACATTGAATCAAATGTTAGTGGAGATGGATGGGTTTCATACTGCCAATGACAAAGTAGTAGTTTTGGCAGGCACTAACCGAGTGGATATTCTGGACCCAGCCATTACCAGACCAGGAAGATTCGATCGAATTGTTCATATAAGCAAACCTGATATTAATGAACGATCTGAAATTTTTCAAGTACATTTAAAAAATTTAAAATTAGATCACACATTGGATATACAGAACATTAGCTACCTTTTAGCTTCTCTAACTCCAGGCTTCGTCGGTGCAGACATTGCTAATGTGGTGAATGAGGGAGCCATTCAATGTGCTAGGAGATCTAACATGGTCGGTGTTCAGGTGAAAGATTTCGAATCAGCCATAGAGAGAGTTATTGGGGGATTACCAAAATCGTCATCCCTCATCTCCCCATTAGAAAAAAAAATTATTTCTTATCACGAAACAGGACATGCACTTATCGGGTGGCTACTAGAATATGCAGACCCTGTTTTAAAAGTTTCAATTTTACCTAGAAGTAATGGAGCCCTGGGTTACTCACAACATCTGTCGGAAGAAATTATGCTTTTCTCTAAAGATGCTATATTGGACAAGGTGGCTGTTATTTTAGGTGGGAGGGCAGCTGAAGAATTATTTATTGGGCGCATTACAACCGGAGCAATTGACGATTTAAATAAAGTCACTCAATTATCCTATTCATACGTCTCTCAATATGGAATGAATAAAGAAATAGGTCTTGTTTCATTTCAACCCAATTCCTCTAGCGAGTATAGCTTTTACAGACCGCACTCGGAGTGCCTAGCGCACCTAATAGATAATGAAGTGCGCAGTCTCATTGAGACTCAGTACAATCGAGTCAAGTCCATTTTGCTTAAACATGAAAAGCATGTTCACAAATTAGCAGACCTGCTTTTCCACAAGGAGACCATCTCCTACCACGACATTGTGCAGTGTATTGGAGAGCGCCCCTACCCGGTCAAGTCCACCTACGAGAAGTTTGTCAAGGCTAACCCGTACAAGTTGGTCGCGTCAGGTCAGGGCGAAGTGGTCAAAGGTGAAATGGGCAAAGGTGAAATGGGCAAAGGTGAAATGGGCAAAGGTGAAATGGGCAAAGGTGAAACGGGCAAAGGTGAAACGGGCAAAGGCGAAATGGGCAAAGGCGAAATGGGCAAAGGTGAAATGGGCAAAGATGATGCTAGCGGCGAGGCGGAGACATCCACGGACGGCACGGCCCAGATGGGAAAAACAAACGAAGCCTTCGCGGAGCAGCACGTCACAGAGAAAAAGGGGCCCACCGAGGAGGGCGCTGGGGAAAATTCCGATGACGGAAATAAGAACAACAAGGTTTCTCACGTGGGCACCCCCCGCTGAGGTGAACTTTTTTCTTTTTTTTTTTTTTTGGAACTTCATTAAGTGGTCAGGCAGCAGATCGGTGCGGTCAACGAGACGGATGGAGATGAAGACACCACAAGCTTGGCTTTGTTTACCCTTTAGTCGCATCGCATTTACCTCATCAACATCGACGTGGAAAGGAGGTGCGCCGGCCGTTGGTGGGGGAAGCGGGTTGTCCCCTTATCAGTGCGCTTTCCGGCTGCGCCTTGACAACATTTCTTTGTGGGTGAACAAATCGGGGGAGCATCGTCAACCCCCTCGCCCACTTTACATATGCATTGTGATACCTTCATGCTTTAATCAGTCCCCCCCTTTTGCTCCGCCCCAGAAGCAATACTAACCAAATGGGGAAGCTTATCGTATTATGTATAAATCGATAACCCTTTTTTCTTGTATGTTCAGTTTTTTTTTTTTTTTTTTTTAAAAACTTCACATTAATTAGTAACATTCAAAATGATCTTAGTTTGAGCAACTCAGCTCATAGAGGAGCGTACACATGGCGGTGTGTTTCCTCCCACTTGACAACAGCGCCTTTTTTTTTCACCAAAGCGAATTGTGATATCAGGGTGGGCGGGAAAGAAAATAAATAAAAAAAAAAAAGTAGCACAAAAAATGGACCAAAAAGGACATTTCCACCTGCACACGCCGTTGGCGCACTGCGACTACTTCACATGGTTGCAACACGTACATGTCGCACAAGTGCGTGCTTGCCTCAGTGGAGGCGGTAGACATACGAAGACGACTGCGTGATGTATCTCACCCACCTGTGCGTATTGCTCGACTTGTAATTCTCGATTATCCTCAGGTACTTGATTCTGAGCTTTGATAAATTGAACATGGGAATTTCAAAGAGCATGTAGATGGGGCCGAAGTCCCGCTTGGAGAATGTGTACCCGGGACTCAGAGTTATCTTCGACCGTATGCTGTGTTCGCTCTCGCCCTATGAGGGGAAAGGAGTGGTTGAGAGGGGGGGGAAATGATGCGGCGCAAATGGGTGGTGATGTGATTACGGTTCAGGCAGGAGCCCCTCATATGCGACGCACACACACACGCACACACGCGCGCGAGAAGAGGATAAAACGAACCTTGAACTTCTTTATGGTCCACAGCAGGCGGTGCTCGTTCGCGATGTATTGCGCTGAGAAGAGGTCTGAGGCGCTGTGCAGGTCCAGGTGCACGTTGGTTATGTGTTTGCACAGATTGCAGTTGACGAACACGTTCGTGCAGGTGTACTGCGAAGGGATGTCCAGACGAATGCGGATGCACAGCTCGACCTGTGGTTATATAAGAAGTGGTCACGCGGGTAGAGATGAGGGAGGGGGGGAAAACGGGTTACACGGTTACATATGCAGCACAAAAGACGCATTACTCGTCAGCCCCTCCTACACATAAGCCTTTCCTCCGCCGCGAACTTGCCCTACCGTGTGGTTGGGGCCGTAGGTGACACTCGCATAGAGGCGAAAGGGGGCCTTGAAGTTATTGTTAATCCGATAGTTCATAAGAATGCACTCCCCATCTGGTTGGTAAAGAGAAAGAATTTTGTCTCGTTCGAATTGCGATAAATTAACCAAGTGATTAAAATTACAATCGTCAATTATAACATTATTGGTGTTGTCGGAGTGCAGGTTTTTTATATACAGGTCGTCATTTAGAGCAATTTTAATGTAAGGGTTTCCCTGCAGATAAGACTTAATTTGAATTACTCCATCCACATAAGAATAAATAATTTCTCCTTTAAAATTCATAATCAGATTAATTTTTTCAACAATGTCGATAAAAATTTCATTTTTTTTTTCATTTAATTGTATTGGTTTTTGAGAAGCATTGGATGGTAATGTGTTTGAATTTTTCATACTGAAATTGGAGAGGTTGGCTAGCTTCTTTGTACTCTTGCTAATACTCGTGATGCTATTTCCAACGGTGTTTCCTACTGCACTGGCTACTCCCCCAGCAGTGATACTACTACCACTAGAAGAGGAAGTACCTCCACTACCACCACCCATACCCACATCAGATGTTGCACTAATCTCGTTGTGAATCAAATGACGAATGCTTTCTGTGTTACTGTTTTGAATATACCCATAATCGATTATCTCATCGACAATTTCATATATTAAAATAAAGTTAGCTCGAATGACTTCTTCATTTATGTGACCACAAAAGTCCTTCACAATTTTAACCACTCGGTAGAGCAACTCCAGGATATAACTAGGAGATGCATTAAACAAAGATGTGAATACGAAATACAGACTGTTGTTTTTTAAATAAGTGAAGTGAATTCCGTTTAGGTAAAAGATGGGTGGCGCATCTCCTCCCTTGTGCAATTTGACGTTGCGAAAAAACATCTCCCCGCTCCCTTTGGATACGTCTCCTCGGAAGTCTCGGTTGATAATCGTGTCCCCCCGCGGGGACAGGATGTAGAACTGCGACACTACCATGTTTTAGGTGCGGCCAGGGGTGAGTGGTGAGCGGCGGGCGCTGAGCAGCGAGCGGTGAGCCGTGAGCGGCACAGGGTTTCAGGCCAACTACGCATCAGTGGATTATTACATACACACCAAAGCGCTACCGCTGCGATGATGCCACCCGCGCAATTGTACGAAACGACTCAGTGTAGCATCCGAACTTACTGTCCCTCACACGCCTCGTCTCCCTTTTGCTATTCGGGGGAAGGCCCACCATCCCACCCCTCTTTTGGAAAATCACCTCAGCAATCTCTGCTTACGGGCGGGTTCAAACAATGGGGGAAAAAAAAAAAAACAAAATACAAAAAATGTGCCCCGCAAAAGTGGGCCCCCTAAAAAGGCAAAAAAAAAAGAATTACAAAAAAATTGCCAACGTAGGGCGGGAGGAAAAGCCACTGACACTTGTTTTCCCACGCGATGGGCCAAACTGAGCAGCTCAGAGCGGTGAAGCGGAACACCACGTGCACGCTTCAGTCAAGTGGGTGGGGGGATGCAAGTCAGTACACGATGGAAGAAGAGATGAAAGGATATACGAAAGTTGTATCTGCCCAGTAGGGACCAAAAATATATATAAGTGATATATATTTCCCACCGGTGCGCACCGTTCCCCCAAAGGTTGTCAAGCAAATCGGGTCAATCCATTTTTCATTTCAGTTAAGCGCTTATATACGCATGTGTGAAGCTAATTATTTGGTTCGTTCCCACGACTGCCGCCAGACGGCGCAAGTTGTCGCTCATGTGCAACGGGCAGCGCCGTCACGCATCCGCGTCGAAACGAGTAACTGCTTAACTACGTAGCCGCCCTCCGCTTCTCAATCCCACGGGGGGGGAAAACCCATGCACTGTTGCTGTGTTGCCGTTAGAAAACAAAAAAAAAAAAAAAAAAAAAAAAAAAAAAAAA